TGCATGGCGTGTACGCTGTGCGTACTGCTTATACGCTCAATGTACTCACCCATTAAGCCATAAACCCAAAAGTACTTAAATCCTTAAGACCCGGGTTCCAATCCCAGATCTGAGTCATATGAAGTGTCTTAAACCATAAAGTCGTAAACCTAGTGGCTTTGCATGCCCCAAATGAGCCAAATCTCGAAATATCAAACACTACTTCAATAAAATGAACCCAACTCATGTGTGGATGATTCAAAGCCTCAAAGATTGCAACTTTATTACTCAAGGACCAAACAGACACTAAGAGTAGCAACTCTAAGCTCCAGAAATGACAAAAAATCACAAGATCTCATCTATGGGACCAAAATGACCTAAAAACTCAAACAAAGAAGACTTAAGCATTAACAAGGCAAGTTCTAAGCTTTATACCTAAAGCGAGTGCCAAATGATGAAGATAACCCGGATCTGCAAGCTCAAATCCAACAACTCTCCTTCACCAACTTCTTTTTCTTCTTTCCAAGGCACCAAACTGCCAAAAATACACTCCACAAGGTCATGAACACACCAAGATCATAAGGGGGGGGGGGTGTCGATTTTAGGGTTTATGGACAAGAGAGTCTGATAATGGGCTAACCCATGGGACTTAATTACATTATACAGGGCGTACGTGAAATGCCTCCGCGTTTCATAATGGACCATTACGCCCAGTGTACACCAGGCTTACGCCCACTGTACGGCCTCAACAAGCCCATTCAAATAAGACTCAATTCCACTAAGCCCACACAACTTGCATAATTAAACAATTAGATAAATGATGAAATAATTAAATAATACCTTAGAACCATCGGACGTTACACATAATATACCAACATGTGGTGGTAGATTACATAAGATAATATGAAACTTTAAGGAACTACATTATTAAGACACATTTACGTACATTTTCATTGCATTTCTAAATTCTACCACTATTATGCATCATTTGCGAAGCATAATTTTTGTAATGGAAGTCTAAACTAGATGATTAAACTAGTACTAATAGGTCCAACACACAATTAATCGATAAACACGATGAAAATCAATAAAAATAAATAAAAGTTAAAGACAGTGTTCAATGGTTTTGCAAAATCTCCTTAACTTGTGAACTATACTTTCATACAAACAAGACTAGATTACCGATTAATATATGTCACACCCCCGAACCAGACGACGGAAACGTCCGAGGGCTGTTGTGACTTAATTGAATACCATAACATTGAATATATATGAAACATAACATCATTCGTCACCATGCATCAATATAGTACAACTGATAGTGTTTACACTGAGTACATTGTGTTGATATTACATTCCCAAAAACAAATTGTTCGGTTCATAGATAAACAAACTGCAAGCCATCACTGAGTACATTTTTCCTTTGGTTCACTTGTTACCTGAGAATACAAGTATTTTGAAAAACGTCAACATATGAAATGTTGGTGAGTTCATAAGCGGTATTTGAAAAGCAACGTTTTGTATTGTTTTGAAAACCACCAGAAAATCCGATATTTTCTAAAAAGAGTTTCTGAAAAAGTTTGTGAAGATCCATAAGTATGCTTGTTTGTTTCTATAGTTGTAAAAAGTATTCGTTGAACTTGTGTACGTTTCGAAACTGTATGTATTGAAAAACCCTAGGAAAACCCGATGTTTTCCTAACACTTTGAATTCCATGTAGTTGTTGTACCATCGTGGCATGTGAAGTCATTGATTCCAGGCGACGTCGGATTATTGCGCATTGTGAATCATTATAAACATGCGTTACGCAAACGACCAGTTTACAATTATACAAACGATCCCGTGGGCGTCGTCCGTACTATTCACGTAATCCAACCGCCCTGACTTCTTGTAGTCCCGCATCCGAAGAGAAAGAGGGCACGAAGACCTCGGTAACTCCATTAGCCGGTTGGGGATAAAAAAAATGTACGAAGGGTCCTTGACCCGCTCGCATGTGAATAACCGACTTTACTAGCAGTACCAAAGGACCCTTGGGGACCAATAGTAAAAAGCCATTGAAAGTCCTTTTACGCTGTGTTGGATCATGTAAGACCCAACAACTCGTAAGGTTGGAGTCTTCGGGCCTAAAGATCTGGTCATTGGGCTAGCTAGGCCCAACAAACAAGATTTTACACTTTGGGGCCCAAAGATGGTGCGTCGACGTTTGTGCACTCTCACGTGTGTATTGAATTACCAAATGTTTTCGTGTATGAGTCGGGTTATCGTCGTGTTAGTAGTTTCGGATTGTTATTGATTCGAGACCGAATCAATTCGTTTAACAACGATTTTTGGTATTGTTGTGTATTGTATTACGTTGGTAGTCGTAGTGCCAGTGTTTGATCACAACGGATGTATTGAATTAACATTTCAACTTTTCTGTTACAACCCCTCTTTTTGTTGTGAATTTACTTCTTCAACCCTTTATAAAAAAAAAATTATCGGTTTGGTCCTTAAACCATTTTTCTTGACATTTTAATACCAAAACTTATTGAAATTGATATTTTTCAGCATATTTTTAGTTGAAAACAGTTTGAGTCCCTGAAAATACAAATTTCTCGGTTATAACCCCTATTTTTCGCAGTTTTTACAATTTTGGCCCAAATTGGAAATTTTTTGCAACTTTGGTCCTTTTGAAATTTGAAAAGCATTTTAAACCTTAGAAAAGGACTTGGGCCACTAGTAGTCCACTGTTTTGCAGAAAAATACTGTTTTGGTCCTTCAAAACAGAAAATTTCGCATTTTGGGCCCTATTGGGCCAAAAATGTCATTTTTAGCCCATTAAGCTTGAAATTTATATTTTTTAACCTTCCAAAAGGGTATATTTCTAGAAAATACTTTATTGAAACTGTTTTGACTCTTCTCATCCATCAGAATTCGTAATATGTCATTTTGGGCCCTTTAACTTTGTATTTTTAGCATTTTATGTCCAAAAATTGAGTTTTTAGCCCAAAGAAAATGTTATTAAGCCACTTAGCTATTTTTCTTGGAACACTTTGTATGTAGAAATATATTTTGTGCTAGTATCATTTAACATAAGGTATATCTCGATTTTTAGGGACTTATGACTAGATCCAACATCATAAACACACAAAAACACACATATAAGCATAGAATCATACAAGGCATACAAAACACATATAGATCTACACTTTCACTTGCATTCCCCCCCCCCCCCCATAAAAACTTATAAAACAGAAAAATAGGGAGTATGAAGCTCACCTTAGGGTGTTGTTTCGGTTTTTGAAGAAAGGATGGAAGAAAGCTTGGTGATTTTTGACCCTAGCACCCCTTGATGAAGATCTCGAGTTTATGGAGTTCTAAGACACAAGTTTATGATTTCATGAGAGTTAAGAAGAGATTTTTAGATATAAGAAGGAGTCCAAAGTATGGTTCCAAGCATTAACTTACCTAGATAATGATCTTTGTGGAAGAACTCCCTTAAATTCCTCTTAGATCTTCGAAAATTTGGAGAGAAATGGAGAGAGCTCCTTGAGAGAAAAGATGAGTGAAATGTTTGTGTGTGTGTTTGGGATTCGGCCGAGAGGGGGAGAGAGGATAGAAGAGGGTGGCTTTGACAAGATAGATGCTTGGAAGTATGAGTTGCATGCATGGATATCCATGATAGTCAAATTAATAGCTTACTGGTCCATTTGGGCCCAATAAGGAAGTCCTAGTCCAAAATGGACCTAAACAAGAACTTCTAGGGTTTCCAATTGTTTGTTGACTATTTGTAGTACTTGTATGATGTATTTGATTGAAGTTTTTGATGTCATAATAATAGGTATCACACATGCTCTTAAGTTTTTGATTCAACATTAACTTGAGTGTATAGATTACATGACACAAAATTTCTAGTTGTGACAATATACGTGCATAAAGTCGAACTTTAAAAAGTCTAAAATGTACTATTTAACATACGATTTGCAAATCACCATTCTTCTGCGAAAGAAAACTAGAAGAAGAAATTAAGAAAACAAGGAAGAACACTTGATTTTATATGATGTAGTCTAGTGTCCAAAATAGGTGAATAGATGTTATTACTTGAGAGATTTCGTCTAGAGAGTTTCACATAGTTTTTGCCATGGTTGTAAAAATCATGACTAGTTCACGATTAATCTCTATTTAATTACTAAGTTGTACGCAACCGACTGCGCAACGTCTACTAATTAATTCCTGTACAGATCATTAGTAAAGTTGTCCAAGCCAATGACTTTTTAACACCTTAAAGAAGTTCTATTTTAATAAAAGCTATTTAAGAAAATATTAGTGTTGTATTAGTCATATATATATATATATATATATATATATATATATATATATATATATATATATATATATATATATATAACTGATTTACAACTTAGGATTGTCGACTAATCAATCGATAATTAACTAACTTAATACAATCTAGCGATTTTACAACCTTTATTTTTACAAAATGGGTTAAAAGAAGCGATTTTCACAATGACTGTATTTTTGGTAGAGGAATTCCTAAAAGAGTTCGTTGTTTGACCAGATTGTTACTCAATCGCTGCTTTTTTGAGCTAATTTAGGTGTTGTAGTATGAACTTGAATTTGGTTGTCTGGTTCATGATCCAACTCACTATCTTTTGCATACAAACCTAGCTTCTTGTTAGTTTTTTAATATCTTTGCCGTTTGAAAAAAAAAGAAAAAGAAATAACATAGATAATGGAAACCATTTTATGATTCATAAAGAACTACTTTAGAACTTTATTACAAAGGATATCAATATATTATATTGAGTTTGGTCAATTCCATGATTAGCCATATAACTAACCATGGAACAACAAATTCTGTCAAAATCAAACTTCTTGTGTACACGTACAAATGACTAAGCGACTAGGGGAGAATGAGATATGGTATGAACAAAATCATAGATGGGTTTTCATGTGTTTGAAGAAATATATAAAATATGTACACATTTTGCTTCTAGAAATACAAATTTCCATTGCATATTGTGGTGTCAAATTCATAGCCCTTAATAATCTTGATCAAAAGTCATGTATGCACTACCTTCCTAGCAATGAACGTTGAAAATGTCACAAATACTATTTTCCCTTTTGGTGCACAAGTAAACAAAAACCGCAGCAATGTTGTCTCATTTGTGCGCCTCACTCTCTCAGACCTCCTCTTCATCCATCTCCATCTCTTTCACCTCCTCCACCGCCTTCCGCCACCGCCTCCGCCCCCTCTTCTTTTACTCCCCCTCAAAAGTCTTGAAATTACATAAAAAGGTGCCGTATTTCTCCACGAACGCTTCCATGGAGTCGCCTGTGGGTTTGTCGGTTGATTCGGTCGCCGATGGATTGAAGAAACAGAGTTTGAGCGAAGATAAACGAGTGAAGTTGAACCTCGAGGATTTGAATTGGGACCACTCGTTTGTTCGTGAGCTCCCCGGCGATCCTCGTACGGACATCATGCCCCGAGAGGTGAATCCATTCGTCCATTGATCGTTTCCATTTCATTTACTGTCGTCCCTTTTCCCCCAAATGGATGATTTTCTATGCTTAAATTCGTAGGTTTTTCATTTATCGCATAACGATTCGATTGACATTTAGGTTTTCTAGCTCTCTAAGAGTAAACAGTGAATATTATTAACCTCACTTCCATGGAAATGAGATCGTAAAATCCAAGAACCCTAACAAAGCAACTATCGAAATCTCTTAAATTTCCAGGTCCTTCATGCGTGTTATTCAAAAGTATCCCCATCTGTTCAAGTCGAAAACCCCAACTAGTCGCATGGTCAGAATCAGTGGCGGAAATTCTCGATTTAGATCCTAAAGAGTGAGTTCCTCGAATCCTCTCCCTACACATCAAATCTCATTTTCCATTCTCCCAATCTTGAACTTCTCTTCATCTTCCAGGTTTGAAAGACCCGACTTCCCACTTCTGTTCTCCGGGGCATCTCCATTAGCAGGAGGGTAAGTCTGTCTTCACTCTTCACCTTCCCCTCGACCTTTCACCTGAAATTTCATCATCCCTATTCCATAATCTTTTCAGATTATCTTACGCTCAATGTTACGGAGGGCATCAATTTGGAATGTGGGCTGGACAATTGGGCGATGGTAGAGCCATAACACTAGGAGAGCTTGTGAATTCAAAGAATGAAAGATGGGAGCTTCAATTGAAAGGTGCAGGAAAGACTCCATATAGCAGGTTTGCAGATGGTTTAGCTGTTCTTCGTAGCAGCATTAGAGAATTTCTTTGCAGTGAAGCAATTCATAGTCTTGGAATCCCAACTACTCGTGCACTTAGCCTTGTAACAACTGGAAAATATGTCACCCGTGATATGTTCTATGAGTAAGTTTCTATTATCAAACTAGAATTCTTTTTCATTCAAATGGATATTGAGATTTGAGAGCTTATTTTCTATAATATATTTACAGTGGAAATCCAAAAGATGAACCTGGTGCAGTTGTATGCAGAGTTTCACCATCTTTTTTACGTTTTGGTTCATTTCAACTACACGCATCACGAGGAAAAGAAGACCTTAAAATTGTTCAAGCTTTAGCTGATTACACAATCAGACACCATTTTCCTCATATAGAAAATATGAACAAAAGTGATAGTTTATCGTTTTCAACAGGCCAAGAAAACGACTCTGTAGTGGATCTAACTTCAAACAAATACGCAGGTAATGTAAAAAACTAGGGAAAACTCCATAAAAGTCCTTATATTTTGACCTCATAATCGATTTAGTCCTTATATGTTTTTTTTCATTCAATTAAGTCCCAAAAACCGGTGTAGCTGCATTTATTTTGACCCTTTTACCCGGTTGGCATCCCATTTTCAAAATTTACACCCCGATTTTAAATTTTATTACAAATTTGGTCTAAAAATTTACACTTTTGACACAGATCTTAAATTTTATTACGAATTTGGTCCAAAATTTACACTTTTGACCCAGATTTATTTTGACTGTTTTACCCGGTCAACAGATCATCCAACTTTCAAAATTTATACTTTTGAACAAGATTTTAAATTTTATAACAAATTTGGTCCAAAATTTACACTTTTGGCCCAGATTTCAAATTTTGTTACAAATTCATCATGAATTTAGTTTTTTTACATTTTTTTTTTCAAAATTTTGCTGTATAAAATCATATTCGTAACAAAATCCTGAAATAAAAGTGTAAAAAAAAAAACTAAATTTATGATGAATTCGTAACAAAATTTTGAAATCTGGGCCAAATGTGTAAACTTTACACCAAATTTGAAATAAATTTAAAATCTGGGTCAAAAGTATAAATTTTGAAAGTGGGACGACCTGTTGACCAGGTAAAAGGGTCAAAATAAATACAATTACCGGTTTTTGAGACTTAATTGAATAAAAAAAAAACATATAAATTTAAATCGATTATGTGGCCAAAACATAAAGATTTTTATGTTGTTTCCCAAAAAACTATATAAAATTTTAAACTGAACGATTGTTTTATACTGTTATAGATTTTGACATATTTATAAAAATTTACAGCATGGGCAGTGGAAGTAGCTGAAAGAACTGCTTCCATGATTGCAAAATGGCAGGTGTTGGATTCACTCATGGTGTGATGAATACAGATAACATGAGTGTATTAGGGCTCACAATTGATTATGGGCCTTTTGGATTTTTAGATGCTTTTGATCCAAGTTTTACACCAAACACTACAGATCTTCCAGGAAGACGTTATTGTTTTGCAAATCAACCCGATGTTGGATTATGGAACATTGCTCAGTTTGCTTCAACTCTTTCATCTGCTCACTTAATTAGCGAAAAAGAATCCGATTACGCCCTCGAAAGGTAGTTTTACCCTTTTACCCTTTTACCCTTTTGTTCCTTCCCCAAAACATTCATTTTTTTTTTTTGTGTGCAGATATGGAACGAAATTTATGGATGACTACCAATCAGTAATGACAAAGAAACTCGGGTTACCAAAATATAATAAACAACTGATAAGCAAACTGCTTAACAATTTGGCAGTTGACAAAGTTGACTACACGAATTTCTTTAGATTACTTTCCAACATAAAAGCTGATTCCAGTACTCCAGAGGAGGAATTGCTGATTCCACTCAAAGCTGCTTTGTTGGATATTGGAAAAGAGCGGAAAGAGGCTTGGATTAGTTGGGTCAAAATTTACATAGAGGAGGTAAAATCTGTCTCTTGAATTTCCTATCCAACAACAAATGTCATTAAATAAGTTAAATAATAAGTAACAACGTGCTTTTGATTTTTTTTTTGTTTATAATAATAATAGCAATTTATTTTATTACCTACTTTTTTGCCCACAATAGCAACCTACTTATATTTGTTTATTCATAATAGCAATGTATTTTATTTTTCATATCAGGAAATGATCTAATTACAGTTTTGGTCCCTATAGTTTTTAATTTTATTTGTTACAGTTTTGGTCCATGTAGTTTATAATTTACATTAATTAGTTTTGGTCTCTGTAGTTTTTAATTTATAACTACAGATTTGGTCCTTGTACTATTTAATTTGAATAATCAGAGTGTTGGTTACTTGGTTCCTATAGCTTTTAATTTGCATTAAATACAGTTTTGGTCCATGTAGGTTTTAATCTAGGATAATTACAATTTTGGTCCCTGTATTTTTAATTTCCATAATTACAATTTTAGTTCCTGTAGACTGTAGTTTTTAATCCATATATTACATTTTTTGGTCCCTATAGTTTTTAATTCCAATAATTATATTTTTGGT